TGTAATTCTCCCGCGACGTTTCAGAGGCTTTTAGAAGATTGCTTAGGAGATCTTCATTTGACGATATGTGTAGTGTATATTGATGATTTGATTATTTTTGCAGATTCATTCGAGGAGCATCTACAGCGCTTAAATAAGGTTTTAGAGCGTTTACGTCAGTGTAATTTAAAATTAGCACCTGATAAATGTAGTTTCTTTAAAAGACGTGTAAACTATGTTGGACATGTTATCTCCGAAGCGGGTATTGAACCAGATCCAGAGAAAATTGAGGTGATCCAAAAATGGCCACGCCCATTGAATTCTGTCGAGGTAAGAAAATTTCTTGGATTTGCTGGTTATTATCGTCGTTTTGTGAAAGATTTTTCGAAAATATCAAAACCTTTATCTATTTTGATGCCCACAACGGGTAAGAAAAATAAAAGTAATGTTTCCGTCAAGTGGAAGTGGGATATTGAGCAGGAAAATGCATTCTGTGAATTAAAGGATCATTTGTGTAGTTCTCCAATTCTTACAAGCTGTGACTATACGTTACCATTCGTTTTACATATTGACGCTTGTCAAACTGGTCTGGGTGCAGTTCTTTATCAGAAACGAGATAATTTATTGAAAGTTGTGGCTTACGCGAGCAGAAGTGTGAATAAATCGGAACAAAATTATTCTGCTCATAAATTGGAATTTTTAGGGTTAAAATGGGCCGTTACAGAAAAGTTTCATGATTATTTGTATGGGAACAAGTTTGTGGTGTATACCGACAATAATCCATTAACCTATATTTTGACTTCCGCTAAATTAGATGCAACAGGTCATAGATGGCTCGCCGCTCTTTCTGCGTATGATTTTGAAATAAAATACAGACCCGGGAAAAATAATTTGGACGCCGATTTATTGTCAAGATTACATAAAGAATCGGAATATATTTCACATGAACAGGTACATGTAATTTGTAATTCTATTCAGCCGAGTAATTATGCCGAATGTTTAAGTATATCACCAGAATTAGTGCCGGAGGTAAATTTAGGTCTAAATGGTATGACACCACGTGATTGGAGAAAGGAACAAGCAAAAGATGCCTCTATATTGTCTATTCTTAAATATTTAAGGTCGGGAATAAAGCCATTTGACAAGGAGTTCAACAAAGAGGTCCAAGTATTATGTCGTCGTTTAGAACACTTAAAGCTGAAACAGGGAGTTTTATATCGATCTGTGGAACATGAAGGGGAGATAATTGAACAACTCGTACTTCCAGGTCATTATAGGAAATTAGCATTTCAGGCTCTTCACGATGATCTTGGTCACATGGGTAGAGATAGAACTATGGTATTAATGAGGGAACGATTTTATTGGCCTGGTATGGCAAGTGATGTTGAACTTTGGATCAAGAATTGTGAACGTTGTTTGAGACGAAAATCTCCTACAAATATCCGAGCCCCTTTGGTGAATATAGAAACTACTCACCCCCTTGAAGTTGTTGCGATGGATTTTCTAACACTAGAACCATCTAAAGGTAATTATCAGTATATTCTAGTTATTACAGATCTGTTCACAAAATATGCTCAAGCAATACCTACACGGAATATGACAGCTCGCACAACGGCTGAAGTATTTTTCAATAATTTTATAGTTCATTATGGTTTACCAAGTCGGATACATTCTGATCAAGGAGCTAATTTTGAGAGTAAAATTATTAAAGAATTATGTAGTTTAGTAGGTATGGATAAATCCCGCACCACAGCTTATCACCCGATGGGTAATGGGCAGTGTGAAAGATTTAATCGGACACTTTTGAATATGCTGGGTACACTTACGCCGGAGAAGAAAAATGATTGGAAAATACAAGTAGCACCTCTTGTACATGCATATAATTGCACACGACATGAAACCACTGGATTTTCACCTTTCTATTTAATGTTTGGACGCCACCCTCGTCTTCCAATAGATTTAGCGTTTGGAGTGAGTCGAGAAGTGTCTAATGTGTCATTACATTCGTATGTAAAAGCGTTAAAGGAACGGTTACAACGTTCTTATGAATTAGCGATTAAATCATCAGAGAATTGTAAAGAAAAACAGAAGACAAAATATGATCGGAAAGTTAAAGGTATTCGTCTTGATATTGGTGATCGTGTTTTAGTACGTACTTTAGCGTTTCAGGGAAAACACAAATTAGCTGATCGATGGGAACCTGGCGTTTACATTGTTGAGGATCAACCTAATTTGGAAATTCCTGTTTTTGTGGTCAGACCAGAGTCTGGGCGTGGACGATCGCGTACTTTACATCGAAATAATTTGTTATCAATCAATAGCGTTGAACCCGTGTATTTTCCGACTCCAAAACCGAGAAAGCGAAAAATAGTAATTGAGTCTAAAGTAGCTGCGGAAAAATGTGTTGAATTAGATTCAAGTTCTGATGAAGAATTTAGTTATGTGGAAGCCAATGATCCTGTAAATGAGAATTACCCGGAGGTTATTCTTACGGGAGGAGGGGAAGGTGATCATGAAATTATCGAGGATATTGTTGAGGGGGATCACAATACCGAGATATTTCATGGGGCATCTAATGACGCATCTGTAAGTAATGAAAATACTGAGGTAAAATCAATTGAAGTTAATGTTTCAGGTGACGCCGTAGATAATAATCCAAGTCCTCTACCGGCAGATGTATCTATTGAAACAAGACCTCGCCGAACATGTAACCAACCTCAATGGATGCAGAGTGGTGATTTTGTTATGGCTCAAATTAATAATCCGTCAGATTGGTATGAGAAAGCTAACTATATTCATTCATTACATCTTTCAGGTTCTTTAAGCAAAATGGCTCCAGAGGTTAGTACGGCATTGTTGTCGTTAATTACTGGTAAGTAAATGACGGGACGTCATTTTTACGGTGGGGGGAAGTATGTAACAGGGTCATATTTTGGGACTCTGTCAATTAATGTTGGTGAAGAATGTCCTGATCAGTGTCTTGATTGTTGGAAGTTTTTAATAAGTGAGTTTATAGTTTTGGTTGTGAGATAATGTAAATTCATTAAAATGTTTTGGGGGATGGATTTTCAGTTGTATGGGTCTGGAATTGTATTGTCCGGATTATGGTGTTTTATTTTAGTGGTTGAAATGTCTTAGTTCTTATATGGGTTTACTTTTAATATTTTTTGGTATAGTTGAAAGGATAACTCGTTGGACTCTTTATAGTTCTGAAGGTGGTCTCTTTCTGAAATATTGTTTATCAGGTGATTAGTAATTCTTTGTCCTGGTTGGTTATTCAGAAGTTTAGCTGGGATAAAACTAAATTACACGCATGCATCAGTACCACATGTTACAGATTTAGTGAAGGTCAATACCGGCTCTTTTCCACAAATGGGTAAGCTATTTAATTTAACTTTCTTGTAATAGATGACTGCAAGTGGACTGTGAGTTTCATGAGTGTTTGATATATAATTATATATGTAATTCAAATACTGTAAGGTAAAAATTGTAGGATGTGTAGCCAATAGAACTGTTGGTTACGAATATATGGATAATGGCAACTATTGTATTTTCAGGGCCAACTTGTCGAGCATAAATGTATTTTGTGTTATAGTTATGTGTAGTACCAACAGAAATGGTGTTTAATGGTTATGGTGGATTGAAATACATCTAGATCGACCAACATCGACTACGCGCTTACGCGTTTCATTTAATTGTTTTAAACTGTATCATGTGTCGTTTGTGGATTATATAAACTTATTTAAACCTTATCGTGTTGTCAATCAAGAAATCTATTTTCCCGAACTAAGCAGGTTCAATCTATCAACTTTACCACACCATTGCAGGTGATGGAAAGGGTAGGTCTGCAATATAGACATTACCAGCGATAGAAATCAAAACAAAGCAAAAATAGATTTAAAAAAGCATGGCGGTCGCTAATTGGTTAATCGAATGACTGACGTTATCGGGTCAAATGTCGCTTGATTGGTACCTGACGTCATAGAACGTGAACTCCCACTATAACTTGTTAGATCTACATGTAGTGTAGGCCATCGAAAGTATAAAAAACGAAACGAAATATAGATCTATATTTTAATTAGATTGCGTGAACAAGAGAGTTTAAAGTTCACTCCACACAAACGAGACCATTTCGGGACTAACATATGATTCAGTTTTATTTCAATAATTCAATTGCGCGTATGGGTCTTTAGCAGTGGGAGGAGACCGGAGGACCCGGTGAAAACCAACAAGGTCTTGGCGGGCGACAATACTTCTGACGTACAAGCTACAGTATGTGTGATTTAATGGTCGAGAGCGAGACATTATAACTACTATGGTGATACTGCACGAGGGAGTTAGTCCGAGTGTTGTTTCAATATATTACACAATGTCTTGCACGTAACCATTATTCAACTTAAAATACAGACACTATCCAGCACGTGCATTTGAATAAAATCGTCACGCAAGTTCAATATTTCAACTAGTATAAAAACATGCCCGATTATCAAGCTGCCAGTACCATTATCCCGGACGTGCATTCAATGAATCGTCATGCGATTTAGTATAAATAATGTATCATTGACACGTTTCCAGTACCATTATTTGAAACAAGCAGGATACACGGCTCCGCCCAGAGCCCACATTCCCACGAGGCCAATTCGCCAGGAGCTCAGATTCATCATGGTTCCAAAATCATCATGGCCCCAAATTCACACGAGGCCCAATTCGCCAGGGGCCCAAATTAGACCAGGGCCCTAATTCGCATGGGTCCAAATTTGTAATGGACCCAAATTCGTCATGGCCCCAAATTAGTCATGATCCCAAATTCGTCATGGGCCCAAAATCGTCATGGCCCCAAAATCGTCATGGTCGCATTCGATGGCCTAAAACTTTCACGGGGTCATGCTTGTTGAGTTGATACCACATAATATTATGTGGGGGTGGAGCTCGGCGACGATGCGTAATGGGCGAACATACACACTTTGATTTTAGTTACATAGATAATGGTACACCAACATCAGAGGATGAAATCACATCTGTATATTAAAGAGAGGTGAACAATCACCATTTTATTATAATTTTTAAATTAAAATGTATATTTAACAATAGGTATGATTCGAAGCTGATTGATGACGACATGTTTTTCTGGTATAGACGCTTTAATTGATCGTCTTCAGATGTTATAATGTATGTATGTGGGAACTATCCCTTAAAACTGACGGAAAGACAATATTAGGGACCTTTCGCATCGGTACGAAAATGAATTTTCAACAATTTTCCCAGGACCTTGTTTATATAGTTGAGTGTGCAGAATGTGCTCAGATACAATATTCTGCTTGATTATAATACATTACAAGTTCATGAAGTGAAATTAACGCCATCTAGCTATTATCGTACGTCGGATTGCGAAACGAAATGAAATGAAATGGGGTTTAACGTCCTACTGTTTTGCTCCGAACTGGGCTAATGAAGACGGGCATACGCCATACAGTGTGCTATGAGGGAAATTTTGCCCGGACAGCGGCACTACGGCCTACTCTTATATCGAATTCCAACTGTCAAGGGATCTTTTACGTGCACGCCAATGTGTACACGGGACCTCGGTTTTTCGTCCCATCCGAACGACTAGACAGCTGTTCTTGTCAGCCCCTCCGTCCTGCATCACTGACAAGGGAGAACCACGCCGGAAAATCTGGTTGAACTTTCTCGGCCAATGCAGGGATCGAACACCCGACCTCCAGGCTAACGAGCCAGCGTCTTACCCACGGATTGCGAAACAGAAAACGAACACGTAAACGAACATAATAGAGACTTTTGGCAAACGTAAATTCCTGGTCCGCATCGCGTTTCCGTAACGATTTTGCGTGTGACGTCATCAATGCGTGTGTATTTCTCATACGTGATACGGCACACGGATACGGCAGCACGTATCGAACAGCTTTCATACGGAAAAGGTCCGTATAACATCGTCGTTTTTTTACCGTATGTTTTGCTACTTTTAGACGTAGCGTTTTTATGAATATGTGTGTATCCTAGAACACGAAGGTGTATATTTGATGTGATTTTAACTATGGCAAAGACGACTTCAATCCCTTCAGGAATTTGTAGGCTAGGTACTTGACTAGTACTGATGTTGATCTTGGTAGATAACTGCCATTATGCTGTAATAGAACTACGCTCAGCTCAGCTACCCATACGTACGCGGCGCGAAAATCTGCCAAAACTCTAAAATAAATTAACGCAACGTATCAGGTGACGATACAGATACGTTATACAGATGGGAAAAATTCCACTTGCCAAAAGTCTCTATTGTTCGTTTTCGTACCGATGCGAAAGGTACCTAATAACGTTTGGTATCGCTTAGAACGCAGATTTACTGATGTATTCCAAGCTCAATTAAGTTATTTCTCTGTTTGCTTTACAGTCTATACACATCTAGTGCCAGTCTATAAAAATAAAAATCAACCCACGAATCCCAGAGTTAATTTACAAATAATACCCATACACGGGTAAATCTCTACACGTCAGAAACATGTCCATGAACCTCTGTGTTTTCAAGCATGTGTATATTATCGGCGTGTGGATCGTGGTGTCTGTTCCCTGGTAGAAAAGGAATACAACTTAAAGCTGGCCACCATTTATAGAGGTATTTTGATAAGGGCATGTCGTAAACAACATCTATAGAAAGGTTTACGTCCGGCTTAGCAGATAAATCTGTAGGATCGCCAGAATGTGAGTCTCTCCAAGCGATCATTCCTCGTTCTTCTAGAGTTCCTGAAAACAATTTGTTAAATACAGCCAATTATAAACCTATAAAGGGAAATCGCTTTGATCTTTGGGTATATTCTATGTCCGGAAAGTCCGGGGTGGCTTTGAATATATACAGGGGAATTTGGGGTTATTTAACGTCCACTCGACACAAACTAGGTCATTTCGGAACTAACACATGGTTCAACCTCATTTCAATAATTCGCCTGTCCGTAGGGGTCTTTAGCAGTGGGAGGAAACCGAAGGACCCGGAGAAAACCCCACGAGGTTGGACAGGCGACCCTACTCCTTGTCACGTACAACCGGCGAATCAAAACCACGCCAGTTGATTCAATGACAGACCTTATAATACAACGCACACGCGCTAACCATTCGGCCATCCAACCCCTTAGGCTAGTATGGATTGAACATTAAAGTTAATGGCGAGAGTCCTTGCTCCTTGGGGATAATTAATTGAACGTTCCGGAATTGAATTCTCACAATCCTCGTGACAATCGAGTGACAAAGGGGATATACAGCTAAAACGTATGCGCCCACTGAATAAGGACATATCAAAACCAACCATGGCAGCTGAAACATATTCGTAGTATTTTGAGACTAACAGAACTGTGACAGGACTATATTCCACTTCACTCGATTGTAATTCTGTCAATTCTGGACTGACAATCGTACGTCCCCATAATCACATCCTGGAGTTATCGCCCTTTTAATTCTCTTGATTTGTGATTTTAAGAGAGAGATTACTATCTCGGTATAATGTCTTCTTCTATTAATGTTTAACGTCCACTTCCAGACAATTCGTCGGATTTTTATTATCTTAGACATAGGGGTCTTTCTTGTGGGAAGAAACCGGAGTACCCGGAGTAAACCCACAAGGTTGAGAAGGCGCCCTATTTTCAAGTCGCATGCGCTCACACCAGGCATCAAAACCACAACCGCAAGCCAAAGCTGACAGGCCAGCGATACTCTAGACCACTAGGTCATCCCATAAGGTCTCCATTATTCTAATTTCTACGTAATAAATGGGAATGCCTGTCTTCATTGGTCCGATTGGTGCCGAACATGAGGACGTTAAACCCCATTCTATTAAACTAATTGAAGGTGTGTGTGATTGACTTACCTCTGACAGTATTATCTAGAATTAAAGCAATGATTCCACCCAGGAACATAGGTGTTCCCAGACCCACCTTTAACACCTGATCAACTTCAATATTACCTGGCCAAATACAAAATATACATAATTAGTACCTGAAAGATAATGGTGGCCAAATTCAAATTACATAATATCGTTACAATAAATCAAACAATGTAATTATTACAGAGTATCATCTCGTGCTGAGTATGTCGTTACTATCCCACCGCGTGCATCACCGACACGTTACCAGGCAACCAACAGTGCTCGTCCAATCATCATCTTGCAAGTGTAATACGCAATGGCTGTCAAAAAAGATTGCCGTTAACCATTGTTGAGTATGTCTTTACTATCCCAGCGCGTACATCACTCACATGTTACCAGGTAACCAACAGAGCTCGTCCAACCATCATTTCGCAAGTGTAATACGCAATGGCGGCTACCGTCAAATAAGCATACTGCCAAAAAGCAAGGCGCCAACCACGGCTGAGTATGTCGTTATTGTCCTTGTGGGTACATCGATCCCGCACACGTTGCCAGGTAACAACAGTGCTCGTCCAATTATCATTTTGCAAGTGTAATACGTAATGGCAGCGACGCCGAAACAAAAAGCATGGCATGCAGTATCGAGAAAGAGATGTTCTGGTAACAAATAGAACTGTGTTGTATAACAAATATTTCCCTGGCAATTTGCATATATTTTCCAATCGATAGTTATGTATTTAGGGTCGTGACTGTTAAAGAAATGCATCATTTTCGTAGCCCTTTAAAGAGGGGTTGGCGTTTTCAGAGATTTGAGTATATAGTTGCACTGGGCATGTTTAGATATTTAAAAGTATGAGTCGTCCAAGTTTTAAAGGAATGCAATATACCATATTGCAAGACAGTAGATGACCTATTAGCTTCATAAGTGAACGTAATAAGGTATTTTCAAATATTATATTATTTAAAACTAGTTATTTTTCATTGTTTGAAGGGAGTGATATCGCCAATTTGCTGATAAGTGAGCGTAATAAGGGCATTTTCAAATATTATATTATTTAAAGCTAATTATTTTAATTGTTTGACGGAAGTGATATCGCCAATTTGCGAAATGAAACCACCAGCTGTCATTGCCATCATGATAGCTATATTCACAGATATGAAAACAAAAGAAAAAAACAAAAACAACAACAATGTATACAAAATTATTAAACATTAGGCTAGACTAAAATACAATTTGCACAGACACAGAAAGCTGAAGAAAAATGTTAAGTTTTACAAAACAAAGCAAATTAAACATTTACAAGATTCCATGCATAAAAGAGAACGGGTGGGCGAAGATGCTGAACCAACAATTACGATGATCAGAGGAGTGTGTCAAAGAGGCGTAGCATTAGGCCACGTGGAGATATAGGGGGCGTGGTATTAGACCACGTGATTATTCTCACCCGTCGAGATAAAATCCGGATGACTGTCAATCCACTCTGGTATCATAAGGCCTACAACTATTGCTGTTCCAATAATTATAAGATTTCTGTTCGAGTTGAGGTCGACATAACGAAGATTGGACAAGCCCAAAGATACTAGTAAACCCAGAAGTATGATCAGCGTCCCTCCTAAAGCTGGATCTGGAATAAGGGCTAAACACGCCCCTAATTTACCGAACACTGATATTCCCAGCAGTATGATACCAGCAGTTACCATTATAGAACGACTGGCCGTCTGAAAACAGGGGAGATAATTAATCAATACCACTTTATGTTTTTACTACATCGGTAGGTTCCGGTAAATCGTGTGTATAGCTTGTCCTGGAAATGATCTGCTCTGATTGTTACCAATCGGAACCTGTCTTGAAATATGGAGTTCATGCTTCTCTGGGTAACTCATTCCGAATGCTCATCTTACAACCAACAGATATGTTCCATCCATGCAAACAGATCTCGATCTTTGATGTCACCGAAAGTCTCATTCCATGCAACAGACTAATGCAGACAGGGAATCATAATGTGACAACGAGTCAATCAAGGTGTAGAAAGATTGTTTTGTGAATGGAGTGAAGACGTACGCCAAGTTTCAACATGCGTTGGTGGTAAATATCTCTGAATAAACCAGAATCAAAGAATGCTAAGTGGAATATCTAAGACCTTGCGACACTTTCAAATTGATTTGTTGCTGCAGTTGATCGACAAGTTCTTACTAATGCAAGGTTCCTACAGTCGTGTGATGCGTCAGGATAGGATTGTTCCTATTGAGTCCATGATCTGCTACGTGCAGATACGTTTCGATACGATCAACACGATTGCTACGACTGGCCTGAATATATGATAAGACCTGATAGGATCACCACGATTACTCCACGATTAAAACCACGATTTCAATCGTAGCACGAATCGTGATAGTGGGAACATAGCATAAAGCACCGATCATAATCCAGTCTGGTTAAAACACAGATCCTATTTCGTTTCATTTTTATAGTTCAAAATTTCGTTTTACTTGTCTTTACTACACTTGGATCTGGGAGAGTTGTTATTTAACTCGTGTTCTGAATGGTGTCAGGGATAAGCCAATGAAACGGTCTGTTACGGCGAGCTTTAGGCGTGTTTTTCACGGAACTGTGGGTAATCCACTAGTAACATCAATGCTGATTGGTTAATCAAATGTCTGACGTCATAAGGTCATAAGTCGGTCTTTTGACCCCTGACGTGACCTATCGCTATAACTTGTCAGATCTTCATGTAGTGTAGGCCATCGAAAGTATAAAAAAACGAAACGAAATATAGATCTGTATTTAAATTAGATTGTTCATAATCAGGAAAAGTGAAATAAAACAAAGAGTTTAACGGAATAGTTTTCTACTCAAACCGGGATGATAAAGATAGGGACACCCCATCAAGTGCCCCATGAGGGATATATTTGACCGGATAACGACGGTTCGACATATTCCTCATAAAATTACAACTTCCATGCAAAGGTTACTTGCACGCCAATGCGTACACGTCCTATCCGAGCATCTAGACGCCGTTCCTTGCCAGGCCATTTCGGATTCTATATGACTCGTTTTATATTGAAATCTTAACAGTTGTGGTGAATATGCAACACGAATCATGGCATGCCTGCCACTTTGGAGCACCTGGTAACATTTTGCGAATTGTATGTCTACTTTCCGTTTGGAAGGTTCACACATCTAATGTTTAAATTTCTAAGACTTACACTACTAGCAAACCAACCATTGCTAAAAGTCATTAGAAATGAAATGAAATGGAGTTTAACGTCCTATTGTTCTGCCCCGACTGGGCTAATGAAGAGGGCTTTATATTGAATTCCAAGGGATCTTTTACGAAAAGCCATTAGCAGTAATATTTTTTTTTAAATTGGTGTAGGCTTAATGTTCAAACTGCAGGAATTGATGGCGTCCCAAGTACTGCCAATGATTTAGATCTTATCCATTGTCATATACATATTGTGATGAACATTAAAGTAACCGAATTTAATTAAAGCCTACCTTAGATAACTTTATAGCAGCTATGTTACCACTGAAAGATGTCGTGGCATGACCAACACCTAGAGCACCAGACATGATACTAGCCAGACCTTCCATTAATATACCCCTAGTAACAGCATGGTCTGGTGGAGATGGTACCTGACATGCTTTAGCTGCTGCAAAATAATCTCCCACAGATTCTATTAAAGATGCGATAGTCGCAGCAGAAAATCCAACGATTACAGCTGTATTTAGTCTCGGCATACCAAACTGACCTGGTAAAAAAAATTAGAAAAATAAAATGAAAGAAGTGTTTAACGTCCCAAGGTTCAGCTCCGATAGGGCTAAGGAAGACGGGCATACGCCATACAGTGTGCTGGGAGGGCAGTTTGGCCCGCACAGCGGTGCTACGGCCTACTCTTATATCAAATTCCAACTGACAAGGGATCTTTTACGTGCACGCCAATGTATACACGGTTTTTCGTCCCACCCGAAAGACTAGACAGCTGTCCTTGCCAGGCCTTCCGTCCTGCACCACTGACAAGGGGCAACCACGCCGGAAAATCCCGATAATCATTCTCGGCCAATGCAGGGATTGAACAGGCGACCTCCAGGCTGGCGAGCCAGTGTCTCACCCACTTAGCCACCGTGGCTCCCACAGTGTTACAAAGAACCATTTCCTATTTGATTTTAATTGTATAATAATAATATATAATATTATATTAAATACCTGGATATGGGAATGAGAACCAGGGTGTCAGACCAACGATGTTTATCTTGGAATCGGTTCGTGCTCTATATGATAATAATCTATGATCATCTGGTAAAACATTCGTAGCTGTTAAAATGGCCGACACGATCCACATTAAAATAATACTCAATAATATCTAGAAATAGAAATAATTGGTCAGTAAATAATCAAACGTCTTCAAGAGAGAGAGAGAGAGAGAGAGAGAGGGGGGAGAGAGAGAGAGGAGGGTTTAACGTCAACTCGAGACAAATTTCGGGACTAACAAAGGGTATATATGTATGTCAATAACTCGCCTCTTCTTTGGGGCTTAACGTCCGCCTCCGTCTAGGATTGTAACCGGGTGACCTGACAAGGACAGCTGTCTAGTCGTTCGGATGGGACGAAAAACCGAGGTCCCGTGTACACATTGGCGTGCACGTAAAAGATCCCCTGAATGTTGGAATTCGATGCCCGCTGTCCGGGCAAAATTTCCCTCATAGCACACTGTATGGCGTATGCCGGTCTTCATTAGCCCAGTTCGGAGCAGAACAGTAGGACGTTAAACCCCATTTCATTTCATTTCTAAATCAATCAATCAAACCAACCTTAACTTTACCTAAATCAAAACACGGTTTATTATATCCCTAAATACCATTGTGTACTTACCGGTAAGATTTTGAAAATGGCGAATCTAAATCGTGGTTCGGGTTTTTCCTGTTTTCTGCACCTGATTCTAGGCATGGGTAGTCGAAGGTGAAACAGATAGAGTGCAAACACTAAAACCAAAACACAACCACTGAAAGATAATAATATATTCAATAAATAAATAGGTTTAATTTAACCAAGGCAGCGGATACATCGAAATACAAAATAGTTCTATCGATGGGTTCAATCGTCGCGCCAATGTTTAAATAAAATAATAATAATAATAAAAATAATCTTAAAACACTACACAGGTAAAAATGAGACAGGTAAACAGAAAAGTAAAAATGAAATAAAATGAATTGGGGTTTAACGTCCTACTGTTCTGCTCCTATACTGGGCTAATGAAGATGGGCATACGCCATACAGTGTGCTATGAGGGAAATTTTGCCCGGGCAGCGGCACTATCGCCTACTCTCGAATTCCAACTGCCAAGTGATCTTTTACGTGCATTCCAATGTATACACGGGACCTCGGTTTTTCGTCTCATCCGAAGGACTAGACAGCTGTCCTTGTCAGGCCAGAAAAGTAAAAGGAATGGCACAAAGGAAAATAACAATAACAAGGGCCAGGGTGCTCAGTTAAACATTCATTATGCAAGAGCTACATCTACCTATTGCAGGTCTTTCTTTAGGTCTGAAATGTTATATAAACTATTAATTAGACATTGATTAACTTATCCAGAACATAATCAACTCTCGATGGCACCGCTAGCCTGCGATGTTTATTGGATTACGTTCCGATTTGCTGTTCGACTTTGATTTATAATTAAATCAAAAAATGAATAATCGAGACTATGTTTTTTTTATCCTACCGACTTCAGTAATGGTGATCGAAGTTAACCCCAATATTCAATCGCTAAAATCGCGGTTCATAGTGGATCAATTTGACTGAAATTTTCAGTATCTAGTTTTTAACTATTATAGTGAGAATTGCCAGTTCCTTATCTAATCTCCCATAATGTATCTTTAATGCTAGGTTCCTAATATAACGCATCGTACGACGGTGGGAACCTAGCTTAAAATACGGTTTTCCAACGTTTAACTACGTTTTCCTGCGTTTACCCAAGTTTACCTAAGTTTACCCGAGTTTACCTACGTTTTCCTACGTTTACCCACGTTTACCTACATTTACCTACGTTTACCCAAGTTTACCTACGTTTACCCAAGTTTACCTACGTTTTCCTATGTTTTGTAGAGAAAAGAAAACAAATGAGTTTAACGGTTGTAACCGGACAAGATTACTACAGCAGTTCCTACGGAGTTACTTCCCTTTTAACGAGTAGCAGTACAGGATCCCAATGTCAATACTTACGAAAATGCAATGGCCCATTGAGGTCTAGAGTAGATAATGGGTACTTTTAATAATGATAAACCAATTAGTGATATAGTTGGGGCTACTGTTATTGGTCCGATATATTTTAACAGTGGTCCTACAAGACCCAGGCCTCCCACCAGAACTTCTATGAATGATGTTAACATTAAACTTCCAGATAACTGTCAAAAAATATAAAATATACATCAGTATAAATATTAGAGACGATATTTGGATTAGTTATTACTTCCCTTTATTTCGCTACCCACAATTTCGCTACTCAAGGACTGTCATTGGGGTTAAAAGCCTGAGCCCATTGTGTATCAATCTGTCGCTGTAGAGTTATCCCCCTCTAAGCTCTATCAAGGAAATTTATGATTTAATTCCCAACTTTAATCCTGGATGAATTCTATTTATCATAGCCATCCCTCCACTCCGCAGATGTCTGGGGGGACGGGGAGAGAAAAAGAGAGAGAATTTTCGAAACTGCCCGTATTACCCCCGCCCCAACTCCATTATATGCATTATCAATTATAATGGCATCCAAGGGTGCCGCTCAAGCCCTTAGTCTATCCCACTTTTGTTCGAGACATACATTGTGCAAATAGTAAATCAGTTATTGTATTGTACGCGTCTACCAGGCTAATGAAGACGGGCATATGCCATGCAGTGTGCAATGGGGGACATTTTGGTGGGAAGTGGCGTCTTCGCTCGCTCTTCATCGAATTCCAACGTGCACAACAACGACTAGATACTGCTCATGCCTCTACGACCTGCACTAATGACACGGGGCATCACTCTGTCCTGTACGACTGACAAGGGGGCATCACTCTGTCCTGTACGACTGACAAGGGGACATCACTCTATCCTGTACCAATGTCAAGGGGCATCACTCTGTCCTGCACCACTGACAAGGACATCACTCTGTCCTGTACCAATGTCAAGTGGGCATCACTCTGTCCTGCATCACTGACAAGGGGACATCACTCTGTCCTGCACCAATGACAAGGGGACATCACTCTGTCTTGCGCCAAAGACAAGGGCGCATCACTCTGTTCTGCACCAATATAAAAGAGGAAACCAGACTGGAATATCCCGAGCCACTGTGGTTCCACAAAAACTACGAGAAAACGTGGTTACCTGTTGCAATCGTTCATCAACTGATAATGGTGTTATTCTTGTTTCTGTAGTATTAGTACTCATCATCGATGATATTGTAGATGTTACATTATTATCTAATCCTGTAAGAAAATAATACATGAAGTGGTATCAGATGTTCTAAACTTAGTGAGAATTGGACTGGGTGTGCGTAAAGCAGTGAGAATCGGCATTGCTTTCTTGATAGAGCTAAGTTCAGATCAAGTCATATAGCTTTTCTCTCTTGAAAAATTTGTTTTTTGTTCATATTTGTACTCAAAACAGCTATATTTGACCTAGTTATCTGGAAGGGCTTAAAGATACATTATGGGAGATAAGATAAAGAGATGGCAGTTCTCGCTATAATAGTAAAAAACTAGATAGTGTAAAGGTAATTTGCTGAAAATTTCAGTCGAATTGATCCAATATGAGCAAAGAAAGAAGCGGGTGAAATTTTGGCATAGTCTCGGTCATCATTACTAAAATCATTAATATAAACAGCTTAGCCTCGGTTATCTACTTTGTTTGATTTAATTATCAATAGCCGTTAGCGGCATATAGGAATCTAATCCAGCCAACATCGAAGGCTAGCCTTGACATCGAGAGTTTTTATTATGGTCTGGATAAGTTAATTAATGTCTAATTGATAATTTAGATAACATTTAAGGCCTAAAGAAAGACTTGTAATATGTGTTTGCTATCGAATAAGATATGCATTATGTAAGATTTAGATAAAGAGCTTGCAGTTTAAATATAATAGTTTGACCAGCGGCTGCCAGGCAGGATACGCCCACATTTTGCAAGAGATGGATAGAAAACAACCTAAAAACAAAAACGATTTTTTGACCAATCAGAGGCCATAATCCAGAAAGTTATCAAAAGAGACTTAGATTTTTGGAATATAAAGATATGTTTTAAGTTTTATCAAAATCGGATAAAAATTGTGACCTCTAGAGGGTCCATAACCTTTGTATTACATAAATACTTGCGTACAAAGAACGGCCATTTTGTCGGTCAGTTTCATTTCGATTTTCCCGAAATTTCAATTCAACCTTCATCATGGTGGAATGGTGACATATCTAAACGGTTTTTAAAATCGAAAAAAAAATTGTGACCACTAGAGAATCCACAAGCTAAAAATGCGATTTTTCGACCAATCAGGAGCCATAATCCAGGAAGTTACGTTTGGATATGTGTGATTATCAACAGGAACCAAGATCTTTATGGTAAGAACATATATTTTAAGTTTCATCCAAATCGGATAAAAACAGTGGTCTCTAGATGGCCCACAACCTTGATACCCTATTTGCGCACAAAAGGCGGCCATTATGTCCGTCAGTTTTTTCTGATTTTCACGAAATTCAAACTCAGCCATCATAAGTGTATAACAGTGATATATTCACACGTTTATTTTTAAATCGACTCGAATAAAAATGATGATGCATGGTTTTTCAAAAGGGGTGGGGTGGGATCAGTTAAACCAAAGTCTTGGTGACACTTTCAAGCGATTATGCAGACAAAAATACACAAGGCGAAGTCGACTAGAAATGACATTCGTTGCATTAAAAGAGTTTGTTACATTCTTTGTTTCATTTTCATATGTTTACACTGTATTTCCAACAAAGAGATGCAAGAAATGAAATACAGCCAAGTTCAAAGCGGGGCGATTGTATTTGAGGTCTTTGAAGCTTGATAATTACAAATAAACTGTTCATGTTTTTGTATAATAAATGATATTATATTTAAAATATCTCATGATATGTTATGTATAAAAAGTTGCATGTATAAAAATTGGAAACGAAGTATCTAAACGGTCTGTGAAATTCCATTGAAACATGAAATAGAAACATTTTATGTTTATATAATGACATGCCAAGCGGAGCAATGCGAACAACTTTATGAAAAATGATAATTACATTTTCATCTTCTAGGTGACCGGCCTACGTCTGCAGTCTTATTTAAAGGGCCAAACTCGATTATATTTTGGAGAATAAAACTGCTTAATTTTGTGTTAAAAGCCCTTAAAATCCTCTACTTTAGGACCGAGCAACAAACTCAATATACGTGATACGTATTCAAACAACTTCAAATCGTCATTCTTCATCTGGAATTGGAGATCGGTGTCTCACGTTGCATTATACGGTGTCGGGATGAAACCAGACTTTTATTTTAAAAAAATATTGTGTAGGAGCAATTTACCTTGCGTTATTCAGTACAGTACATGGATCATGCACTGTATAGGATGGGTGATCCCTTAAGAATGTGCCGTTCCTTTAAAGGCTCAATACCACTCTTGTTGTAACTGAATAATATGTCCCAATCTATATTCTGGTCAAAAAATTGTACTATTTGACAATATTCCAATTAATTGATGATACAAATTCATCTTAACACACCTAATTTAAAAAATTGGAAAAATTCAACTAAATGTTTTGAAAAGCCTGCTGACGTAAAGCTTTTCAAATGTGACTTCGATTTAAAAATATTTTTGAACCCTCTGGACAAGTAAAATATGATTTAATGGATAATTTACACAAAAGGTAGGACACTAACACATCTAGTACTTAGAATAAGGCTATTTTTTATTTTCTGCAGTTGTCAAGCCAGGAAGAGTGTTATTGTCCCTTTAAGATGGGTGGTACTATATTGGCATGCAACACCTACCTGTGCTAGTATCAGAAGGACATGCCCAACTTTCATCTCTTCCTAAAGCTAAAATAGGAACCATGAAGGATGCTGATGGGCCCTGATATATTGGTAATCTGAAGATAGAAAACCTCTTATAAACTAAAGCACACAGGACAACAACAAGATCAAAGGAAAGACGAATCAATTAGGGTGAATATCACCTCCTTTTGATCTTCTTGTTGTCGTTTCAGGAATATTTGTTATAGTTTTTCTGTATAAATTAGCTTCATAATTCTTGTATTACTGTATTAGCTTGATAACGTTGAGAGAATACTTTTCGAAACGTCGCCCAAATAAATAAGTAGCTGTTTTTCCAGAAGTATATGTTATAGCTTATTGCTCCATCCAGTTACTAAATGCCTCACAAAGATTATCTTATAAACAATACGATCTTTGATTCAACTGTGGCTTGGAAGAACTCTGTTTAGCCAGTTAATGGCGTTGTTCGTCATTTGGGAAGTTATTGATCCCTATATTGTGAGAGTTGAATCTCTAAAAGTAATTTCGGATTTAACACATGGGTCGATTTTTTATTTCAATAATTCGCTTGCGCGTATGGGTCTTTAGCAATAGGAGGAAACCGGAAGACCCGGAGAAAAACCACGACGTTGGACAGGCGATCCTACTCCTTGTCACGTACAACTAGGGAATCCTTATGACACAACGCGCACGCGCTAACCATTCGTCCATCCAACGCTCCGGTCTAAAATGAACATCATTCGAAACATGGCATCCTCTACAGACAATAATTTTTCATCAACCGGTCCAATGAAGACGGACATACACCAAGTAGTTTCCGCCATCTATTTCACCCCACACAAACATAAAAGATCCCTCAGCAGTTGGAATTCAAAATAAAAGTAGACCGGATCACATTTCGTGATGTATACTCGTCCTCATTATCCGGCTTAGTGCAGAAAAGTCGGACGTTAAACCCATGCCTTTTACTTTCTATCCGAATATTTAATCGCGGGGGTTGGTTGACTGAATGGTTAACGCGTGCGCGTTACATCATGAGGTCTATCATTGAGTCAAGTGGCGTGGTTTCGATTTCTCGCTTGTACGTGACAAGGAGTAGGGTCGCCTGTCCAAGCTCGAGCGTTTTCTCCGGGTCCTCCGATTTCCTCACATTAGACTCCAATGCGCAAGGGAATTATTGAAATATGCTAGTCTCGAAATGACCTAGTTTGTGTCGTGTGGACGTTAAGTTCTCTCTCAGCTTGTTGGGTCGCCTGACCAAAATCGCAACATCGTCAGATTTCTCCTGAAATCACCTAGTCTGTGTCGAATGGATGTTAAATCCCATATCTGTCTCTAAAAGATTGAACCATATGTTAGGCCCAAAATGACATAGTTTGTGTCGAGTGGACGTTACCCCCCCCCCTCACTCTCTGCACCCCCACTCTTTCTCTCATGCTGAAAGAGGACTTTAAACCCCGTTTCATATTATTTCTTGTATACTCTATTCAAATTTACTGTTACCTTATTCCAAGGGTTGTTTGTAGCATGCTGCTAAAACCACACATAAACAGAGTTGAACAGAAGAGTTTGGTTCTGATAGGATGATCATATGGTACACATAGTGCATCGGCTATTATAAACGCCATCGATAAACTGGATGCCAAGCTCATTAATATATGCTGAAAATAACATAAAAATATACCTTTAAAATATTTGGCAGAACCCCTATTACCCCCTCGCAGATATTTCAAGGTGATTTTAATTGAATAATACCGGCCAATGGGTGTCCTCGCTAGAGATAAGGGGCATAATTTATAGGTGACGCCATAGAGCAGGGGGTCCCACGTGACCTCATTGTTTACCTTCCAGCATTGATTTTTTGTCCATTCATTACGTTCTTATGCGTTGACAAACCTTAGTTGGATGGCCGAATGGTTAGCAGGTGCGTGCTGTATTAAAAGGTTTGCCATTGAGTCAACTGGTGTGGTTTCGATTCCCCGGTTGAACGTAACAAGTAGTAGGGTCGCTTGTCTAACATCGTGGGATTTCTCCGGGTCCTCCGGTTTTCTCCCACTGCTAAAGACCCATATGCACAAGCGAATTATTGAAATAAAATTGAACCATGTTAGTTCAGAAATGACCTAGTTTGTGTCGAGTGGACGTTAAGCCCCATCTCTCTCTCTCCTCTCTCTCTCTCTCTCTCTCTCTCTCTCTCGGATGGTTACCTGAAAAGCAACAGCGATTCCCACCAATATAGGTGGCGTTTCATAGATCTGATATTCGAGTTTGTCATCTGTTACCATTTCAGTTGTAATCTGGGGAATATTTTCTTCTAGATCGACTGGGCTGTACAACTTTCCATTGACGTTATTAAGACTGTTACGGTTGTGGCCGTTGATCTCTGTATCTGTAGAGTTGTAGTGATTTTCTGTGTGACTGCTATCGTGGGGGAGTTTATCATCTGTTGGCGTCATACTGTAACTATTAAATAATATCAATATTATGTACAGATATATCAGTTTGATTCGGGATAATCAGTTAACCTCAAGACTTATCCTGGGGTTAAGGTCAGGGGTAAAATCGGGTTCTATCAACAAAGTCTGCATACGGCAGATATAATAATTTAATCTCCCGACCTTTCTCGAAGTAGCGGTCAAGTCCATTCGTATATATGGTTCTGTTTGTGGACCTAAAACATCAATTTTAAACATACATTATGCAAGAGCTAAATCTGCCTATTGCAGATCTTTCTTTAGGTCTGAAATGTTATCTAAATTATTAATTAGTCATTAATTAACTTATTCAGACCATAATCAAATCTGGGTGTCATCGCTAGCCTATGATATTTACTGGATTTGAATCCGATTTGCTGCTCAACGCTCATTGATGATTAAATCCAAAATTGGATAATCGTACCGACTTTAGTATTGATGATCGAGGCTTGGACTAAAATTCAAAAGCTAAAATCTGAAATTGTCATCAAATTACCTTTAAATTATCTAGTTTTTAACTATTAAAGTGCGAACTGCCAGCTCTTTATCTAATTTCACATAATGTCCCTTTAATTATAGCGGCATTTTAAATTTTTGCCCTAATTATTTCTAATCGTATGTTACTCCAGTAATCAAAAGTCCGATTTTTTTCTCTTGAAAAACCGATTACCATGGTTGGAGCAGAGCAGGACGTGTTACCCTAGTTTATTTCAATTAAACCATAAAAATATGTCTGACCTCATTGTAAATACAGTACATTCATATTTTGATTTAACACGAACTGTATTCATGACTATGAAAGAATTTAAATATTGTTGATTTAAAAATGGGGTAAACATTCTACTAGATATATAACATTTAGTTAGTGCAGGAAAACTTTTCTTAACAAGTTATAGACATATTTAACTAATCCAGGAAAACGTCTTGACAAGTTATAGACAGATTTAAATAGTCTAAGACAAATTGTTATCAAATTATATCCAGGCTCAAATAGTTTAAGAAAACTTCTCAACAAGATATAGACAAATTTAAATACTCCAAGAAAACTTCTCAACAAGTTATAGACAGATTTAACTACTCCAGAAAAACGTCTTAACAAGTTATAGACAGACTCAAAAAATCCAGGAAAACTTGTTAACAAGTAATAGACATATTTAAATAGTCCAGGAAATTTTCTTAATCAGTTATAGACAGATTCAAATAGTCCAGAAAAACGTCTTGACAAGTTATAGACAGATTTAAATACTCCAAGAAAACTTCTCAACAAGTTATAGACAGATTTAAATATGGAAGCGATTTTACATAAGCATGCTTGTTATTGTATCCGTATATAATATGTTAATTATATCCGTGATTCACTAAGAAATAAAATATTGTTTAAACCAGATTCAAAAACTTCTCAGAAATCAACAGAACGAACTGGGAAATGAAATGAAATTACATACATCGTCTTACATGCAATGACCTTACGATGGACATTTTGCCCCGACCTCGGCTCTACAACCCAAAACCCAAAACCCAAGGTGGAATAGAACAGTAGGACGTCAAACACCACTTCATTTTTTTTTCTGTAGTGATCGACGCAGTATCTTCAAAGTGTTCGTGCACGAGTACTGCAGGGATCAGTACTAGGCCGTTTACTTTTCATCGCCTACAAAATCGAGAGAGAGAGAGAGAGAGAGAGAGAGAGAGAGACGGGCTTAACGTCCACTCGACACAAACTAGGTCATTACGGGACTAACACATGGTTCAATTTTATTTCAATAATTCGACCTTATGATACAGCGCGCACGTACTAACCATTCAGCCATCCAACCTCTCCTAATGATATAGAAGTTGTCTGCGATATAACTTATGTAGAAGCGGATAGAAATCTCCCATGTAACAACAATGATACACATTCAAATATACGACTTTTCGCAGACGACAATTCGCTCTATCGCGGTATTAAGACCACTTACCATCTCAACGAATTCTAAATACGGACATTTGTACCATTAGTAATTTAGTAATTGGTATCTATTTGGACAGTAGATTTTAACCTCATCACTGGGGGGGGGGGGGCGAATGGTTAGCGCGCTGTATCATAAGGCCTGTCATTATTGAGTCAACTGGCGTGGTTTCGAATCCCCGGTTGTACTTGACAAGGTGTAGGGTCACCTGTCCAACCTCGTGGGGTTTCTTGGGGTTTCCCGGTGTCCACTCACTGCTAAAGACTCCTACGCGTAAGCAAAATATTAAACTAAAATCAAACCATATGTTAGTCTCGAAGTGACCTGGTTTGTGTCGAGTGGACGTTAAACCGCATTTTTTGGACGCTGTCTCTTTACTTACATTCTTCTGTGTCACGGTATACTGGTGGTATCTTGACTGAAGATACGTATATTGCACTTTGAAGTCTATATTGATTATATTGTTATATGTAACGATATATACCACCTTTACAATACAGTCACACTTTCGGTTGTAAGTGGCAAGGAGTAGGGACGCCTGTCCAACCTCTTGGGTTTTCTCCGGGTCCTCCGGTTTCCTCCCACTGCTAAAGACCCCTACGCGCAAGCGAATTATGTAAATAAAATTAAAAACCATATGTTAGTCCTGAAATGACCTAGTTTGTGTCGAGTGGAAGTTAAACCCCATTTCTTTCTCTCTCTCAGTCAAACTTTATTATATTCCTTTCATGTCACATTTTAGGTTTTTTGATTTTTGACTTTCTGTTTCCTTTATCCACAACTCGAGGTTATCACACCCTTCAATACAATAAACACCAGATAATCGCGTCAACTATACTAGCTTCTGTATATTAACTCATTTGTACTAAATTACGATATATCATGATTTTGAGGCGGAAGGATAACAGGGTTATCAGGTTGGCTACGGCGATAAGTACGGCAACTAGTTACATATTTTTAGTATGCTTCTTCAAGTTTGTGTATCTCAAAATTTTGGTGGTCAACCTCATACAAATTTTAGTGCAAAGACATGACCATTTGTTCCTCTGTCTAGTGAAAAGCATTCAGCCCAACGAAAATTTGGGGAAAAGTTGGAGGTGGGCAAAGAGGCCAGAATTAACATTGAAGTCAATGGGGAAATTAATGGTGGTCTGCCTCCTTTTGCTTTTGTCACTTCTCTTTCTTGAACGCTTCATAACGCATCTATCGTAGCGATGATCTCTGTACAACCCGGGATTCGAAACCACGCCAGTTGACTCAATAACAGGCCGCATGATACAGCACGCACGTGCTAACCATTCGGCCACCCAACCCCCCTCCGTGATAATGAAGACGAACATAGGCCAAACAGTGTGCGTGCTATGAGGGTAATTTTGCCCGGACAGCAACTGTCATGGGTCTTTACGTGTGTACACGGGACATCGATGTTTCGTATCATTTGGATGACTAGAGGTTTTTCCCTGTCAGGTCCCTCGACTTGCACCTTTGACAAGGGGAAACCATGTTCGACCAACACCGGGATCGACTCTCTGGATAGTTAGCCATCGACTGACGCACTGAACCACCGCGACATCTTTTATTGCAACACATTTAGGTTTCTCTTAGACTGACCAGCACAAGAAGTAGGGTCGCCTGTCCAACCTCGTTCGTTTTTACGGGTCCTCCGGTTTCCCCACTGTCAAAGACCTCTACGCACAAGCGAATTATTAAAATAAAATTGAACCATGTGTTAGTCCCGAAATTACCTAGTTTGTGTCGCATGGACGGTAAACCCCATCTCTCCCTCTCTCTAGACTGAGCAGCACACATGGCTGTAGGACGTTAAACCCCATTTCATTTGTTTTAAATCGTCATTTTCAACGCTAAGATTTTTTCTTAAATTAAATTTTCTGATGCATCGCGGATTTAACACGTTAGTTGAAATTAATAATCACACATGTCGATGACTACAGAAGTTGAACTAATCGAATGTAGACAGCTGTTATTGTAAATAATACGGCGAGAATAAAAAAAAATTACTCATTTACAATATGATATATTATTGTGATTTACTAAAATATAATAATCTTTGAGTGGCATTTAGCCATCGGGAAATACATTGTGGAAGATGCAATCACTGGTTTATTCTAAAAGTACGACGTTTCGACAAGTATACTCTTATCGTTATCCAGGAATGAAATGAAATGGAGTTTAACGTCCTACTGTTCTGCTCCTAACTGGGCTAATGAAGACGGGCATACGCCATACAGTGTGCTATCAGGGAAATTGTGCCCGGGCAGCGGCACTATGGTCTACTCTTTGATCGAATTCCAACTGCCAAGGCATCCTTTACGTGCAGGCCAATGTATACACGTGACCTCGGTTTTTCGTCCCACCCGAATGACTAGACAGATGTGCTTGTCAGGCCCTGCATCCTGCATCACTGGCAAGGGTAAACCACGCCGGAAAATTTCGATGAACTTTCTCGTCCAATGCAGGGATCGAACACGCGACCGCCAGACTAGCGAGCCAGAATCTTACCCTCTTAGCCATCGTGGCTCCCTAATAAATAATTAAAATACAATAATAAATAAAAGAATGAATGAATGAAATATGGTTTTATGGCACGTCAGCTCCAACCGGGCTATATTGCGCCCAACATAATAAATAAAAGAAAGTTGAAAGACTATAATATAAAATACTTACTTTAAACCTAATATGTTTCCGGCTTTAAGATCAAGTAAGAGTGTGTCGTGATTCGACCACAACACGATCAACCAATGTCCAAAATAAATAAATAAATAAAGGGCGGTTAGATAAATAAACGGAAGCAGGGTCCTTCTCTAAAGTACATGTTGTTGATGTAAGATGTGACTGGTTTTTTGGCACGTTATCAAGGTTAGTGTACCCAGAGTTACTTCCCTTTTATTGTTTAATAATCTCAGGTTAAAGGCACACGTTCTTTAAATGAAATGGAGGGGGGTTTAACGGCCTAGGTTTTTGTTTCAGAGAGAGAGAGAGAGAGAGAGAGAGAGAGAGAGAGAGCTTAACGTCCCAC